TGTCGTCACCTGCCATTACTGTATTGTCTTTATTCATGAAGTGTGTAATTTTACCTCGAGTTTCCAATGGCGTCGTCTTCGAAGATACAGCTTGGCTTTCTACCAGTTTTTTCCTTTCTGCTCTCGTTCGACCATTTGGCATCTTTGTAATAAGTATCAATTCCACCTTCCTGACATGCCATCAGCTATTCTAAGACGGGTTGTACAACCAATATAGCAAATTTTACTCAACTTTCCACGGAGCCACGTGCATTGCGCTTATCTGTTCATGGCAGCGCCCTCCAACTGCGGTTTATTGTTGTTTACAATACGTATTTTTTATTGGACGTTAGAAATTGCGAGATTTGATTCGAGATGTTGATACGAGAAGGCCAAGCCTAATTGCGACTTTAACAATAACTTGAAAAATATAAGTGAAGAATACCGCATAATTATAATCAAATCAATGTACCCTATTTTAATATCACTGCACATCATACACCATCAGTAACGACGGCAGGAGGCGGAAGCCCCCTTGAAAAAAAAAAACGCCCCCTCAATCAAGCTGAAACCCTCGTAAGTCAGCAACATTTGCATCTCTGGCCATGCACATGATGAGGTTGCCGAAGCTCACCGTTTATCATACCTGACAATAGTTGAACTGTTAACAGTGGCAAACAAATTAAGTTCTATCAGTTACAAACAACGTTATGTGAAAAGGCACAATTTCTGAATCGCAACGACAGTGTTAGTTTCAACTACGATAATTACGTCATGGTATTGTAGATTACACGTGACAATAGGCAAGTAAAAACTAGAAAAAATTGACACAAATCATAGTTCTACTAATAATCACAAGAATATAACGCATTAATAGCGAAAATTCACGGAAAACTGAACCCTGCCCTTAGCAAAAGTTTAAAAAAAATACTTGTATCTCAATTGGCTTGTTTCTGAAAACCGAAAAAATAAAAACGTAGCCCACTAAGATGTACAATGTCACGTGACCACATGATGTTATCTTTATACAACGGAATTAGTTTATATCTAGTGATTTTACACGTCACTCACCGTGTCTTTGAAAATTAAAGAAATATACGACAAATATTGAAACGTCTTATTTCACTAATTAAACCTGTAGGGCCAATAACACTATAGCGGCTAATAACTTACCATCCATGTGTAGTACGATTCAACGAAATCACTGAATGGGGAAATTATAATAATATCGAACTTGCGCACAATCAAGGTCATACATCACCCTCCAGTGTACTTGAGAATATATATTTTATTCGTTTGTTTTCAAAATTACAAATATAATACAATAAAAATGAGATTAATATGATATATATGATTACATTAGCTGTTTACTCATCCTGTGTTTTGCTCTCATTAGAATCAGAGTGTTGGTCACTTGCACCTGAAAGAAGACTAAATGTGATATACCTTTAACATGATCTGTTCTGTTTTGTTCCGAACACGTAAGCAGAAATATTAATAAATCTTTTGACATCTTTCAAAGTATGTATTAAGTTTTCAAGATTACTTAGAGTAATGTCATGAATTTGTTTTTGCGTATCTGTTAACCGACTTAATTAGTTGATTATTAGCGAATTGCTGTGTTATGTCTGTCATCGTTTAGGCCTATTTGAAGTTTTGGACGGAACTTGGCTCAGTGATTTGGAACTAATTACCAGATAACCGTCGCGATTCTGACAGTTTATATTCATAGTTATTAATGTAGTGAACGATTAATCAAAAGATATGACGTATTCAGTACTTAGTGTGATTGGCTTTATTATTGAAGGTTACGCCCTAGAGTCTTTTACTGTTTTGTAATTGGTTAGAGTTTTGAAAATGAATAAAGAGAGTTTGAGTTGGTCTTGGCGAATACTCCACGACAGAGGCAGTCGAGAGTCCAGTCCAGGGGCGAGCCTTGAGGCAGACCAGTCTTGGGCGAGTCTTGGTTCAGCCTTGTGAGAGTCTTGGGGACTTTTCCCCAGGGCGCTGTGTCTTATAGAGTGCTCCAAAAGATCGACTAAGACGAGAGCTGAAACGTATTTCGTTGTGTGTGCCTTATTTGACTGTAAAGTTAAAGTGACTTTCCCGATCCCGTACCTCAAGGGGACGCGATAGAGAGACGAGACGAGTTTCCCCCCTGACACGTGTAGAGAACCCGAGAGTAGAGAGATATTCCCCCTGATACGTGGTGTGAGAACCCTGGGCATTGCAGAGACGAAACCGCGCTTGACGACTAACACCGTTAACAGTATGGCACCGATGTACAACGCTGAAGAGATGAAGACTTCTGAACCCCTTCTGAAGGACGAGTATCGTATAGGACTGTGTAATTAAGAATTGAGCGACATTAAAGACAAGAAGATGAAAGAACGACCCGGACTAACGCGACAAGAGAGATGACGCTTATAGACTTTGATTAGAACTTTAGCTATCTGTGTATTGCTTAGAGAACTGCTCGCTGGACACTGTAACTGACACTGTGTAACTCAAGACGTTGAACTCTTTTCCAGAACCCTAACCCTATTGCTTAGTAATGTAATGTATTGCTTGCTTTTCCTATCGTTTTTACCGTTTTTTATGTGATGTTGAATTGTATGTATGTGAGCGCCCAGATCTTTGTTTTGAAATGATATTTAGTGACGTTCGAGGTCCCTTATAACGATTTAAACGCGCCTCAGTGGACAAGTATTTGCAACACAGTGTTTTGAGTTTTGTGAAGTTTTATGGTGTTTTAATGACTTTATGAGTAAGGGATATGATGGGGAAAGTAATGCCCCAATGAGTTTTTCAAAGTCTTGAGATTTGTCGATGTACAGAGATATCGACGTTTTAAGAGTTTTTTTTTATGTGTTGTTTCCGGAATACTTCTGACGCTTTTTGAGTTGATAGCACCTTTGTAACGTTTTTTAATGTCTTTTTGAGGTGAGAGTTTCGTGCGCTTATATGCGTATTGTTTGATAACGCAAGCTTTTGTTCATGATTGACAGGATTTTATGTAACTTAGTAGTTTCTATCGTTTTAGTCTTTTTCCCGTCTTTAGTGCCAGAGAAGTACTGTATTATGAAAGCGAATTTGTCTTTGCATTCCGTTTCTACGCCGTATGACTTTTGTTTAGATTAACGACTTGTGAGTTCAGTTGAAGTTAATAAGCAGATGACAGGAGTTTGATTAATAGCTTTTTACTCATTGTTTATTAGTTACCGCTTTGCAATGCTTTAACCGAGAGACGCATCCCTGGTAATCACGTGATCATGCTGTCGACTGCAGCGATTGGCTGATCGCTTGGTTACACCGCCACGCCTTAGTTTTTTGACCTTTTGATATAGAGTTTGTAACCTTAGTAACGGAGACAGTGCAGCGAAGGGTTACCTCAGTAAACCGTTTTGAGAAAAGCGGGCCTATTGGTAGCCTTTCCCTTGTTTTTTGATTTATAACCGTTGATATTTGAGACTTTATAACCATTGTATTTAGACTTTATATTCATTGTACTTAATTAGTGTGTTTTACTCTTTTGATTTATTCCTTTTATTAGTATTGTATTTAACCCGTATGACGATGAGTAGAGGACGGTATCTTTGATTTATGAACGTGTTATGCCGGGAGGCACAATCTCAGTTTGGGTGAAGGGATGTGTCATGAATTT